GGCATTACGTAATCCTTTTGTTACTTGCCATCGTACATTTTTCATATAATAGTTTTCGTTCATAAAAAATAAGTTAAAATTCTAATCCTCGGTGTGTGCGGTACGAATCGGAACTTCTTGGGCATTTTCGAATATCAAGGACACTTGGACTGTCAGGGCATCGTTTAAAAGTTTGGTTTATAAAATCGTGTGGAATAGAATAAATGTTTAATCTGGTAAACACTAGGAACAATGACATTACTGCTGAACTAAAAAAAAAAACCCGATTATTGTCAACCGTTGAAGTTGCCGTCCATTTCAATTCTAAATCCTAGGAGTTTGTTTGTGTCCATATTTCTGTTTCAAAGAAGTTTTATTTATGGTCAGTTTTTACACAGTTTCACCTTTTCCAACGGAAAATTACTCCGTGGATGGCGAAAAAAATGAAAACCAGATTAAGTGTAATTTATGCAGGTACAGGTGAGTGAAACTATAAACGGGATAACACAAAGTGGGCTGATTGTATTCCATGTCCGTCAAACGCAGAAACTCGATCGTTTAAAATAAAGGCAAGGTTGAGTGGACTCAAGGTCAAAGACGGGAAGAGAAGACTGAAAGGAAATATTCTGACAACACATGCATTGTTTGGAATACAAAGCGGAAAGAAAATGCCCCCGCGCAAAGCGCCTGTGTGCAAGCAATTAGAGACTTCAAGTTTACCTCAGTACAATGTAAAAACTCATTTCTGGCTCGTTACATGTATTAGCCTGGCCTTAGTTACATGTATATCCCGAAACATGACAAAAATATAATTATTTGTTTTCGAAACTCGCACTGACCTCACAAAAATGGGGTTCCAATTTCTTGGCGCGCCTAAAGAACTTCAAAGCAGATATTTTATATGCAGCCATGACCCTGGACCTCCCATCACATAGATAATACTTTAAGACAACAAGATCAGTCAGTCAAGATCAGCTAGTTCATTTATTATTATAAACTACTGTCTTCGAATGTCGCTTATACATCTGTTTTGGTATTTACATATTTTGCACCAATTATGTGAAATATTGAACAGTATGAAATAGTTCAAAGCCTTATTGACTAATCAATTAGTATATTATATAAGTGGATAAAATTATTTTTCAACCACTAATTTCAAATTTGTTCTGGGTAAAATTTCGAGATGAAATAAGATATTTAAGACGCGTACCTTAAACCATGAATTGTGAACAAAACCTCATGTAACTGGAAAAACAATCGTAAAATAGTTTACATTCTGTTCATCCACGCACTGAGAAATGCGCAAAGTTTAAAATAAACACCTTCTCCAATGGCGTTTGAAGGACGAAAGATTAATTAAACTATTATGCAACTGGAAAAAAATCTCACATCATAGATTGAACGTCATAAGATTTTGAGAGCGTCGAAAATATACTACAGAGCTAACATGTCATCAGGCGCACGTTATTTCTATTTTCATTTCGATTTTCGCCGAAGGCTACTTAATAATGGACTTCCCAGCCACGAACGGCTACCTTTAGCTGGAAGAGTTTGTGTTCTACGAACATAGAATGCATCTATTAGACCATGAAACATGTCTTCAACGCCCCAGGACATCTTCGCTGATGTGATTGTCCACAATAAATTCCATTCCTTCTCTGCGACATACTTTGTGTTTATTAGACTCCCATCGTTCGTTTTCATTTCTAATGCGTGTCCATCTAAGACGGCGTCCGATTTGTTCGCCACAACCATGACCGGAAGATTGTGGCCTCTTTCTTGAAAGATTTCTTCTCTGAGCTGTTCCAGCCGTTCAAATGAACGAGGATTGTCCAGCGAGTATACCAGCAAAATTGCGTCCGCTTTCTGTATGTCCACTCTCCTCATGGCAGGGAAATTCTCCGAGCCGCAAGTGTCAATGATATCCACCTGATAGTTTCTATCGTTATAGAGAATTTGCTTGGAGTAGAAGTCCTCAACAGTGGGTTCATACTCATCGGTGAATGTCTCACCGAGGAAAGTCTTGATAAGCGACGATTTACCAGTCCGAGCCTCGCCGAATACAACAACTGTGAACATTTTCAGATACGCAGAGCTTCTCTTCTTGCCCTCCACCTTCTTCTGCTCTTTCACTTGTTTCTTCATAGTCGATTCCAAATGTCTTCGAAGGCAACGAGTTGCTTCTCAGATGAGCCAACACAAGCGAGCGGTTTATACGTTTATAAAATCGTGACAGGGTATCGAATCCTTACCGCAACTAGATGGATGACGACTTTAATCGTCTTATAGCGTGCTTCCAGTAACAGGTTCGTGACTCGCAACACAGCGTCGAGAGAAACAAACGTTTTGTCAGTGATAAACCAGTTATGACTTCACGAGCTCTACACGACCTACTGTGTCGACGAAGCTGCCGTCGCGTTTTATAAGAAATGCGACGGAGAATGCACCAGAAATTCATGANTCAGTGATAAACCAGTTATGACTTCACGAGCTCTACACGACCTACTGTGTCGACGAAGCTGCCGTCGCGTTTTATAAGAAATGCGACGGAGAATGCACCAGAAATTCATGACATGAAAAACCTGACAGCGTATGGGGTCTGCTTGTCATCACATTCTAGAATATCAACACATAGATTATTTTACGTATTTACGTAACAGCGCCCCCTTAAAACTTCCCTGGCTCACGCACTGTAGGAGGAAGTGGGAGCGGTAAGTCGCAAGTGTTAAGACAATGTTTGGATAACTTTCTATCCGTTTTGTTTCACAGCTACTGGCTTATTCAGGCGAAAACGAAGACCTAAAAATAAGAAAAAAATGAAGTAATAAAAAACTGACAGGCGTATAATTTCTGTTAAACCGTTCTCCATTTCTTCGATTCCTTGTGCTCGGAGAAGACCGACGCCAACGCAGTTTTCCTCGACCGAAAACAAAACAAAACAAAACAAAACAAAACAAAACAAAACAAAACAAAACAAAACAAAACAAAACAAATAAGACTTGAGTGTTGTAATAACCGAAAACTGAAATGGGGTGTGTTGTTCCCTCATAGAGTTGAAACGACAAATGCTTCAAGCCTCCTTTTATTGAAATTCTTGGACGGAAAACAGAGGTGGGCGAAATAGAAAAGTTCTCTGTGCTGTCTTTCTTACTTCGAGCCAAACATACTTCGGAAATGGCAGTGTTTGTCTGAGTTTTCGGAAAACTGTGCCCATCAACTTCCGAAAACACCTGTAGATTCCGAAGTTGTCCCGGGTAAATTAATTAAGGCCGAACTCAACCGAACCTTCTTCGGGCACTTCCGAGCATCGTCGAAGTGTTCCGAAATTTTTTCGTCTTCCGAAACATAAGATCATCTGGTACAGGCCGAAGATTCTTCGGGAAATTCTTTAAAAAACTACAAGTACAAAGCCATTTTCGAAAACACCTTTAGATACAATACCTTTAATGGAGCTAAAATTTGGCTATTTTACAATATTCCCAATTTCCAAAACCGCGTATAATGCGAAAAATATTTGAAGGATAATAAACACAATAGCCTCCATTTGGCCTGAAAGTATGCTCGCATATTTGTCCTTGGACATTATCTGTTCCTCAAAGCTCACAGTTTTCCTCGAGTTTCGCTCTCGGAAAACTGTTCGTTTCTCGGAACAGATAATGTCCGCGGACAAATATTCGAGCATATTTTCGCGCCAAATGGACGCTATTGTTTCTATAATCCAGACAATGGTATTACATTGGAGAAATGAAATCACCCCAGGAGAACGTATTTTTGACATGTTATTTTTTTTTATCTATTTTCGTGATTTAGATGCAAATCACACGATAAGGGATTTTAATACAGATCTGAAGTTGTGTCGTTAGTCTCTCAAAAATAGATCGACATAACATTACGTGCCATTTCGAAGTCACGTTGAAATAACGTTAATCGTAAGCAGTACCCATCATTTGTGGTTAGTACTGGAAGTTAGAATTTTCTACTTCTTGATTTAAATTGAGAAACGCAACGAATCAGCAAAAAAAAAAATTCTGACAGAAGTTTATAAATAAAACAAGGTTTTCATTGGCAGTTACACAAGTCCGAATAACACGCATGCCTCCGCCTGCCTCATGCCTATTTTGTGTCGCGGTTGATCAACATCCTGAATGTTTTCTACGTGCTATAGATATAAAGATAAAATAATGTCAAATGAGGTATGCTGATAACGTCTCAAGATAACGATCTACGTTCGCGTGATAAATGTCGTTTTGGCAGGGATGCTACATAAACCGCTAAACTACGTGCAATTTTGAAGTCACGTTATAGTTGTTTCAATCTTGTGGGTGGGATGTTTTACCCACAACTAACTTCCTAAGTAAACAAGTTAGCGTAGAAGTTGTTGTTGCTCTTTCTGTGTTTAGTTTTGTAAAAAAGTTCTTAAGCTTTCAAACAAAACTCTAAATGCTTTCTTTGTTGTGTTTTTAGATGGTTTTCATCTCCGTTTTGGATCTGAAACAGAAATCACATCCTCAGAAATGAAACCAAACATGAACAGTCTGCCCGTGAAACTCTACACACAATTGAGGCTGTCTTAAATTAGTTTTCACACTTTTTTTTGTCTCAATTGGTTAGGTCAATGTGTATTCACGTATCCCTAGCTATTTTCTGCTCAGTCTAATTGATAAAGCGTGAGTCTATTTCAGTTTTAAGTCGGTAGGAAAGCTGTTGAGCAGATGCAGTTTGTTTTTTATTATTTCACCTGCTAAACCGTGAGGCTTACTGACTATGTGGTACTAGATTCTCACCAGTAACTGGGGTTGAATGACTTTCGCAAAATATATATTTTTTTATCTTCAGTCTTACGCTTATTCATGATTTGAAGCTCAACTTCATCGACGGAATTAGCACGCACCGCTATCGTTAGAATTATCTTTTACAGTGGACACCCTCCGAGGCCGATGGCTATAACCTCTGACTAACAAACACTGAAGCTTTATCGATAAGATCGAAATTAGACGATTATGATGGCGACTGGTTTTATTGCTGTCATCGAACGGGAATTAGAAGACTTAAAACACTGTTAAAAGCCAAACGTGTTGAGGAACTTCTTCACTATTGATTTAACTGTCCTGCTTGTTAGATGAACAATGAAAGCCATCACTGAAATCCCAACGCGTGGGATTACGCATATGCATAACCTGCGAGACAGATCAGTCTAGAGTTGTCCTTCTCTTTCTGCTCGGTGAGAGAGTAGAGGGAATTTCATTCCCTCTCCGACGTCTCTCACCGAAGCACTGAGAAAGACAAGGGGATTTCTGTTTCACAGAATAGGATATGTATCCATATCGAACCATCGAAGTACCATCACTGCGACATAGACTTCCTCTGGTTTTATTTTACAGTTGCTTTTGATGGAGACCGCGATCGCGGCTGGCAAACAGACTGAAGCAGGTCTCATACTGAGAGGAGAGAAATGAACCATACACTAATTGTATAAAGTTCAGTGAACTGGCCATATGTGCATGCCGAACTTCCGATGTCCCCTTGTGACTCCCAGGGCAAAAGTGGACGAAAACACGTCCTCTATTCTGCATGTATCTAACACAACTGAAGTGAATTTTGCTCACCTAATGACTGGAAGCTA